AGCTACAGCTGCCCAGAGCCACACAGGTCTGGACTGTAAATGATGATCACACAGGGTGCAGGGCGCAAGCCGTGTTGACCTAACCCCGCTTTAATGATGATATTTTAGCGAGTCAGTTTGTCCCAGAGTCCCTCAGACCCACTAACCGTAAATTACCTCCTTCACTCTCAAGCTTGTCATGAACAAGTTGGTCATGATTTACTACTAGCAAGTAAGCACTTTCCTTCCAAAAGGGAACATATTTTTCTCATCATGCTCCATTCATTTTTGAGTGTTCGCTTATTGTAATTATTCACTTTTCAAGCCTATGCCCCAAACATCCACACACAAACACACTCTCGGCCGCAGTTTGCCCAGAGTCAAGGGTGCATTGAATCCTTCTACTCTTGGCAACATCTACCTTGTTCTTGGTTCACTCATTGAGCAAATGTTAATTAAGCACATGTATGTCCAAGCAGATGCTTTCTTATTTTCATGGAGCTTATGTTGTAGAAGTCTAGATCAAGACTCTTCCCTTATATTTCCCAAATTGGCAGTCGTTTCATCATAAAGTGCACCTTAAAGGCACCTGAGTAATCTGAATAATATTGTGGACTGTCATTCTGAAACCAATGGAGTTGCTCCCAGACAGCCAGACAAGCTGTACGTGATAAACGCTAAGGTGCCCAGGGTAAAACCAGCTTTTTCTGGAACCAAATGAACTTTCTAGCTATTGTATTTCCCAAGTTAGTGACCTAATCCTCACTATTGAACATATGTTCTGTTCTTTACCATATCTGTATCTATAAACTCTAATTGAACTCTCAGTTAGAGAGTTGGTGAATGAGGGCATTTCAAAACAGGGCAGGAAAAAGTATTTTTCTTCCACTATATCATTCAGCTTTGACAACTGGGGATAAATTTAGTAGCTCTGAATCCTTTCATTTCTGTTAAGATGGAGTTTTTGCTGGCATACTAATTATATTTCTATGCAGGGTTAAAATAACCCTTCAGAGTGTGCATAATCCCTTCCTATGTGTACAATATTAAATAATTAGTTTTACTTAAATGAGTCTAGTATGCTAGAAGAATTCTCAACAGTTTTGGTGGTTGATACCCATTTTAAAAGTGCCTTAGGAATTAAAGTCTGTGCACAGTGCCTTACATCTAAGCAGATGAGGGTATGTTTGTAGCCTAGAGAAGCCAACTTTTTTACAAATGGAAATTTGGAAATCCTTTTGTGTGTGTGTGAAAGAAAAATAAGAGGAAAAGAGCAACCGAGTATCAGACAGGAATATCTGCTGTGTCGATAATTTTAGTGGCACAGCACGCTTGTAGATGGATTTGCCTGATAATATTTATTCTTCAAGTGATAGTTGATGCATATGAAGCAAGTTTACATAGTCCCTAAAAAGGAATATGGCAATATAAAGACATATTTTAAAGAGACTGGGGCAATCTAATAATGAGTGATACTGACAGAGTAACACTCAGCAATACGGGTAGAGTTAATCCAGCCAGCCAGCCTGCCAGCCTCCTGCAAGTCATTGAAATTAAAGCTCCTAGGATAAATTCATTTCTCCCAAGGGCCAGAAATGAAATTTAAAAATAAGTTTTAAGCATACTAAATATTTTGATCGTCTGCTTTCTGAAAACAAAAGTTGAGATTGCCAGCCTGGTTTCCTGGTTCTAGCTGAACTCTTGCATATATTTATTTACTAACATGTAGAATTTGAAATCCCAAACCACCTCTCCTTTTTAAAAATCACTCCTTTTTTCCCTTTTCTTTGGGACAGGACCTGTTTACACTGGGCATGTAAACGCAATCATGGTCAGGTGGTCTCTTACTTGTTAAAATCAGGAGCTGACAAAGAGATTCTTACCACAAAAGGAGAAATGCCAGTCCAGTTAACATCAAGAGGAGAAATCAGGAAGATTATGGGAGGTGAGGCTGTGTTTTGGGGCAACTTTTGATTTTGTCGAATTAATTTAAGACTTGTGTTATTATCGGCTGCATTCTTGATGCCATTCAACTAGTCTGTTTCTAAAAGAAATGACTGTATTACTATGCCAAGATAGTAATTCCATGCTGTTTCTGGAAAGGTAGGCATTATAAGGTTTTATTTTATTTATTTTTTTGCTATTGAGTGCCTTAAGTTGTACTTTGACTCATTGTTTCTTGGTAGCTAATCAGCAAAGGGTGTGAGAAGGCTGGGAGCACTGCACAAAATATGGAACGCTTTACAAATTTGCGTGTCATCCTTGCGCAGGGGTCATGCTAATCTCTGTATCGTTCCAATTTTAGTATATGTGCTGCCAAAGCGACAAGGTTTTATTTTTTTTAGTCTGTAAAATTTAAGGTGATAAAAATGGTAATCATAAACCTAATGAAATATTTTTTTTTACTTCAAGAGGCACTAAACACTGACCAAAGTGTTTCTCTTATACCAAAGGACATTAGCATTCACAAGACACTCTTTCCTTGGTAATTTTTAAAGGGCTATGTAAAGGTTCTGTGTTTTCTTCTTTTTAAGTGGAAGATGATGATGATGGCGACAACCTCCCCCAGCTGAAGGAGTCAGAACTGCCCTTTGTTCCCAACTATTTGGCGAACCCAGCTTTCCCTTTTATCTATACCCCTGTGGCAGAGGATTCGGCCCAGCTGCAGAATGGGAGTCCCTCCACACCTCCTGCATCACCCCCTGCAGATGGATCACCTCCATTACTCCCCCCTGGGGAACCTCCCCTGCTGGGGGCCTTTCCACGGGACCATACCTCTTTGGCACTGGTTCAAAACAGGGATGTGTCTGCCCCCTCCGCTATACTCAGAACACCAGAAAGCACAAAACCGGGTCCTGTCTGTCAGCCGCCAGTGAGTCAGAGTCGCTCACTGTTCTCTTCTGTCCAGTCCAAGCCACCAGTGTCCCTGGAGCCTCAAAATGGGACATACACAGGACCAGCGCCAGCATTCCAGCCATTTTTCTTCACTGGAGCATTTCCATTTAATATGCAAGGTAACCCCTTATCAGCAAACAGGCTCTGTAAAGAGGCAGCCGGTGTCCAGAGGTTTAGTGCTTTACTTCCTGGTTTGTTTGTTTTTTTTTTGAGGGGTGAGGGTTGGACTTGAGTATAATTACAGATTTACAGAAAAGTTGAAAGACTCGTATAAGGAACTGTCTTGACTCAGATTCACAAATTGTTTACCTTTTGCCCCATTTACTCTGAATTATTTAAGTGTGTGTTTCCTAAGAACACAGATAGTCTCTTAATAATTGTACACAGTACAACTATCAAATTTAGGAAATGTAATCTTGATATACAATACTGTTTTTTAATCCACAGACCATATTTAAATTTTGTCAGTTGTCTCAACAATGGCCTTTGTAGCTATCTTCACACCTTCCACTCTGCCCCCTGCCCAGGATCACCCATTAGTTATCATGTTGTTTTAGTCTCGTTTAATCTGTAATATTTCCTCAGCCTTTCTCTATTATTTTGTACCTCAATGTTTTTGAAGGGTCCAGGCCAGTTATGTTGTACAATATGATTTCCTGTCATTCTTTTTCTATTTATTAGTTGGTATTCTACTGTAAAGAAGGGATTTCCCTTTCCCTCCATTCATATCAGTTTAAACTCAGATTCTTATTGTACTCATTGTGTTATACTTTATTACTGTTACTTTGATGTTCAAATTATGCCATATTTGCCCAGAGGGAGCTTCTTCAAGCCAGTTCTTGTATCACTTGGACATGGCCCATCATTCTTGGAGCATTTCCTTACTTTCTGGTGCAGTAAGATGTTTACTTCCCAAACCAAAATGCCTCCCTTATTAAGGGTACTGAACTGAAGTCCTGGTTAGACTTTAATTTTCATTAGAAGCTTTTTGCCCTTTTACTGTTTATTGCAAGGAGTTTCATACTTCATAAAGACCTTTAGATCCTCAATTGTTAAATCTGTTTAGAGTAACTCGTGTACTCATATCTTACCCATGCCGTCTTTCACCTCTCTTCTTCCCCTGCAGTGTAGCTTGACTCCCAAACCCATTCTTAGCCTTTACCTCCTTAGTTCCAGTGGCAGAAGTAAATTATCCTTTTATACAGCTGTGATGGTTGTCCTCTCCCCAACCCCCCACCTCTTTTTACTTGGTGAACCACAGCCTTAGATGTAGGGAAGACAATGCAAGAAAATGTGCCAGCAGAGCCAGAATTAGGCCTGAGCAAACCTGGCTGATGGTGTTTGGTTTTTCTCATTGGGTGGCACAGACCTTCAGCATGGGGCATGATTAAATATAATATAACCATCTTCTGGAAAAGATCTTAAATGACATAGGCTGACTATGCCAGAACCATTCATTAACATGTATCCCTCTTTTTTAGAGCTGGTACTCAAGGTGAGGATTCAGAACCCATCTCTTCGAGAGAATGATTTCATTGAAATTGAACTGGACCGACAGGAACTCACCTACCAAGAATTACTCAGAGTGAGCTGCTGTGAGCTGGGTGTTAGTCCAGATCAAGTGGAGAAGATCAGAAAGTTACCCAATACTCTGGTAAGAAAGGTAAGGCAAGTCTGTTAAACATGAGTGGTTGGTTGCTTTTTGCATTTGGAAAACACCCCGTTTCCTCCTTGGCTATCTGAGTCATACTTGAAGAAATGAAAAGATAAGAGAAAGGGAGCAAAGGGTGGTTTTCCGAATGTAATTGCTGAGCTTTCTTTCCCTCTACTGGGTCTATAGAGACATTGGCATTTTTGAAAGTTGTTGGCTACCAGAGAGAATTTTCTGAATTAGCATTCACATATACCTGTTCTCGGCTATTTCTATAGTGAACTGTAAGGATTACCTTAGTGCACTGTCAGAACCAGGGTAAATTATAGGGCAAACCCACATACATGTGTGGTCCTCCCAACATCTCTGGGTTCTCTGAACATCAGGTTTCTGGCTCCTCAGAGCCCCTGAGGAAAACTGATTCCTGCACTGCCTTTCCCTTCAAGGTGTGCTCATCACCTTGATCAACAGCAGCTGCTGCTAAGGGCTTCCACCATTCCAACCCCGCGCATGCCCCTGGGGACTTCCCTGCACTCTCACTGACAGCCTGCCACAAGGATTTCTCTTTTTTTCTTTTGCTCCTAGGCTTTAAAATGAGCCAAGATACTGGTATCAACCCAACAAAGCACACCAAACATATAGAGACAAGTGGCTCCTTTTAATCTGTTTAACCTATTTTTGTTTTAGGATAAAGATGTTGCTCGACTCCAAGATTTCCAAGAGCTGGAACTGGTTCTAATGATAAGTGAAAATAATTTTCTGTTCAGAAATGCTGCATCCACACTGACTGAAAGGCCTTGCTACAACAGGAGAGCTTCAAAACTGACTTACTAATGCAGCAGGGACTTTTATAACTGAGCATTGTGCCAGTGTGCGTCACCTCTGGGCCAAGGACAAGCCATTGATCTAAACGCCTTGGATGCCCGGGAGGGCCCCTGGTGCCACTGAGCAGTACCCACTCACATTGTTCTGCCAAGGTAGGAAGCCCCTGACCCCCAAGCAGTGGTGCCACTCTTCCAAGCTTCTTGGTGCACAATAAACCTATTGCTCGAAGCTGTGAACACCCGAGAAGTGGCCTGGAGAGGCAGAAGCGACGGTTCTCTATTCAGTGTGTTTTACGTGCAGCATGTAAGAGAGTTGTCCAGGCAGACGCTGAGGGAGCAGAGCCTATTTCTAGCCGCTCCTGTTGACAGTGCACCTGAAGGGCCAGGATGTACCTTTCTTGGTGTTGCATGCTCACAACTCTGAAATGTGAACTAACTAGAAAGGGAAACTGGGGAAAGCACAGGTACTGGACAAATGGGCTTTAGTGTGTCTTGTGACTGAGGTTTCATATAACATACTTATAATATTACTCAGGTTAAAAGTATTTAAGAATACAGTTACTTAATTGTAAATATGCTGTTAACCAAAAGAGCTTCCCCTCCCCCACTTTTTCCTTTGTAAACATTCATGACTGTTTCTGTCTCTAGTCTGCCATTGCCTGTCATCATAAACTGTCATCGCTGCATTAACTCCCCTTCATGGTCACTAGAGGGCTCTCCAACGCTTTCCAAGAGAGCAACTGCCTTTTTTTTTTTTTTTCAAACTCTAAAATGATTCTTGTCATCTCTCTGTTTAATTGCACTGAAAGAGAAGAGCACAAACATTGCCTGTCCATGTTCTCCACTTTCATTTTCCACTAGAAATGAAAAGCAATTTTTGAGGCTGAATCTGTTGCTATTTTAAAGGTTATTATGGGAAACTGAGCTAAAGGAGTTAGCATCTTTATTTTTGTATCAAAGATAACGGTTATTTTGAAATTATTAGGATTTTTACACAACTCTGAAATCTGTTTCTTTTATAAACAAATTGTTTGATCTTAGGGATCTCCCACTACCCACACCGATCCACTTAACGAAGTCAATTGTGAGGCTACACCAGGCTTTGTTCTGGAAAAAACAAACACACCTGATTAAACTCTTGAGCATGACATAAGAATTTTTTAAAAGAATGCAGTCAAGGATTCTTTTTCTTTCCTTTAGTATCATCAGTGTTAAAAGAAAAGCCACGTGTCTTGTTAAAATAGCTTAACTTCAGAAATAAGAAGGAGCGCACTTAGGCGAGCAGGGGTTTGAAGCCAGCTGTTGAAGAGCCTCCCTGTCTTAAGAAGCTTTTTCCCCATAGTGCCTATAGTTTCCAAAGAAACTTAACTTCCTAACTGTGTTAATTTTATTGGAACATGATTGAGAAAGAATGTGCAGAAGATGTCAGTGGAAGCGAACGTGGTGCTAAGATGACAGCCTCCTGCTGCTGCTGAAATGCTGAGATGAGGCTGAGGTGTTTTCAAGGCCAGCTTCATGGAGTCACTCTGTTCAGTGACTTACCTGTATTCCACCAATTACTGACGGTGACACACTTACCCTTCCTTGTATAGTGTTTGCACAGCAAAGGTTATTTATTACTCCCTTTCTTTCCAGTACTTTAAACAAGAAACCTCCCTTGATTTCAACCAATCGCAAGCTAATTTATCTAGCCATACTAACCTTTTCTCCCCTTTCCTTAGAAAAAAATTACAATTGACTGATAAAATTAAGGCTAGTTCTACCGGGAGGAAATAAATTCAGTATTAATTCATGTCTAAATCACTGGGATTAAATCTCTTCCAGCCAGCCATCAGAGACTCTCAGAAGCAGTGGAGGCCCCTGGCTGGGAAGTGGGAAAGAGTATCTTTCCAGGGCTTAAGAAACAGGGAGCAAGGGTCTTGGCATCTCAGGTGAGAGATGGGCCCTGCATTGACTGGTCTCTCTCCTCCTTTATAAAGTCCTCTGTGGTTAAGTGACTCATATGTATGGCTGTAGGATAATACTGCACAGTTGCTGGTAGGTGAGTTTGAAGTCTTAATCTATGCATTCAGAGAAATATTTTTATATGCTTTGTGTAATTTATAACAAAGATTTCTTTTTAGCTTTGTTAACTGTGAATTCACCCCTCCTCCTCCACCGCATATTTCAAGCATGTGTTCACACTATGTGTAAACATTTACTGAAGATTTTTTTCCTTGTGCATTGCTGACTGTTCAAATATAACAAGTATTATTAAAATTAAATATTAACTGACTGAGCCCATATTCTTTAGTTTTGACCTTCTTGAACAGCAGTATATTTCTAATCACGGGGTTCAAATTGTTGGACAGCCCCAGGGATAAGACTCGCCGGAGGAAGGATGGAAGGGACCATTTCCCACCTGAGCCTGCATCCTACTGCTGCTGCTGCGGTGCTCATGCCTTATCAGTGACACCTGGAGACAGATATTCCGTGCAGTGTCTTTCCTCCCAGTTCACAGCAGTCAGCTTCATTTCCCCAGAGTAGCTGAGCCAGCTAGATGGAGGTCATCCTCTATTAACCACATTTTTTGATTATCCTATTTACTTTACACAACTGAGCCTCTCCTTTGGGCTGTCAGCACCTGTCAGGGCCTCAATGAGCTCAGAAGCAAACTCCCAAGACAGGAGAGGAAATACAGCCTTACACCTTCGAATTTTTAGTTGACAGTGATGCCGAGTGAATCTGCGTTTCTGTTGGTTTAGGGCAGCCAGAGCCTCACAAAGCAGACGTCATGCCAAATTGGTCTAATAAATCAGGGAGCATAGCAAAGACCTTTTCTTAGCACCAAGCAGAGGCAGAATAATTTGGGCATTTGTGCTTTCATACTTGCTTTATCACAAGGATGGAAGTCTTCTTCCATACACTCATAAACATCCTGGGCAGAAAGAGCCTGCCAAAAAAAAAAAAATGTGATTAACCTTTAACAAATGGTCCTGCAGCTCAGGCTGACCCAATGCACGCAGAAAAACCAGATCAAAGGAAACATCTCCGCACCTACTGCAAACCATTTAGGGTGGGGGATGATCAGAAGCCATCACCCACCACCAGTCACATCATACTAAGAATAAAGGTAGAGGAAATGAGAGAGGAGATAGGAAAACTTAGTAAGGTAACAAAGAAGAGATCCATTCCAAATATAAGGCCTTGTGCAGGTGGACTCTGACCCGTAGAAAATAAATGATTGGCTTGCTCAAGAAATCAAATTTAATTCACCCCCTCACCTCGTTTACCAGCCTGGGACTGTCAGAGCAGGGGCAGCCTCTGGACGGCTCGGTGCCCCTCCCACATTCAGCTTCAGCCGGACTGAGGAAGATGAATGACTTGGAGGCCTCACTGGTTATGGGGGCCTGACTGGAACAGGCTTCTAAAGGAGCAAGGAAATTAAGCACCATGCACTTCTCAGCCCCTAGAGAAGCAGGCTTAGAGGTCTGAGGGATGACATAAACATGAAGGTGTTCACAGCAGCTTTCCCAAGAGGCCTTGGGTCAGATTTCAGGGGCTTTATTTCTCACCTTTTTATAATATCTGCACAGCAGAGCAGGAACGACTGGCAATGACCCAGAGAATTTTGGCTGTGAAGACAATATTTCCAGCCCAAAGCTCTTAGGTCTACAGTCTTCAGATAATTCTAGCCATGCAGATGTGTATAAAGTCAATTTCCGCCTCTCCCTGTTCCTCCCTGCCTCCTGCAAAGGTCCTAACCCCCACACCTGTGACCAAGCAGAGACAGCCTACATCAGGCTCTACATGTTCACCACGTAGCTTCATTACACCAGTGCTCTATTTTTAATGGATTCAGGCCAGCACTCCAGAGTACAGGACTCAGTTCCTAGGGACAGCCTGACCTGGCAGTCTTCTGTTCCAGTAGGAAAAAAGCTTTATTAAAAAAAAAAAAATACTTCAGAGTAGAAAATATGAAAAGTCATAGGGGGTAGGGAGGTCATTCCATGAAATGAGTGAAAACAGTATAGTGGGGAAATCACACAAGATTGGGTATCAGGACACCTGGGCACAAGTATGGGCTCTGTGCCTCAAACCAGCTTTGACCTCGGACACGTCAGGCACCTCTTGGGCCTCACATTCTCATCTACAGCGTTTAGCACGGTTACCCGATGAGATGCTTTACAGGCAAAAATCTCACAAATACCCCCAGCATTTGCCTTCAGGTCCATTCTGCAGACATATTTGGTATCCTTTCCCTTCCTGAGGAAAACCAGGAGTGGCCAGGAGGAAATCCCGGGCATATATTTTAGGCAAGTCCAGCGTCTCTGGCCATCCCGTAGAAGATGCCTCTGGCTGCAATGAGGTTGGTCGGAGAATCAAATTCAGCTACTGTCCCTTTGTCCAGGACCAGGACCCTAGCCAAAGAAAAGACACGGTCAGGTCTCCATCAGCCCAAAACTGGCCTCATAGCCCAACCCTGCCCTTCTGGGTGTGCTCAAGCCCTGCAGTGACATGCCAACCCTCCCACTTCAGTCAACCCACCCAACGCAGCCGCTACACCACATGTGCACACTTGCAAAGCTGGTTATTTTAGCCACTCCGTTTGCTCTCCTGGCAGACGAGGCGGTTTCTGGGATCAAACACAAGAATCCTATTCATCTTTGCTAGTCGGGGCTCCGAAAACCTTCGCTAATGAGCCTTTACCCTCGCCGGGGTCACAGGACTGTGCGCAGGGAGCCACGGGCCTGTGTGCTGGGCCCTGTGCGCTTCCATCTGCTTTGTGCCAACTCACAAAGGCACACGGCGGGAAACCGGGCTGCAGTGAGGCCTGACACTGGAATCTGGGGCTTTGGCTGCAAAATCTGGCTGCTGCTGATGGGTGGATCTCCATCCCTTCCGCATCCCTGCCCTGCACCCCCCCACATACACACATAGTCAGGCCTGGGATTAGATTATCCCGCCAATTAATCACAGGGTGCACCTGGCACAGAGCCAACGAGCCGGCTCCCAGGGCGAGGATGGAGTAGAAACAGCTCTCCCAAGCCTGAGGAGATGCCTCTCGATAGGAGGGTGTGAACCACAGTTTCCCCACCTATGAGGTGCCCAGAAACGTGTCCTCGGAAGGAGTGTGTCTGTGGACATCACCGCCTGGCCACTGCCTACACTGGCGCCCAGGAGGCTGCCCCTCCCTTCAGGGGCTTCTCATCGCTCTTAGGGTATGGACTGAATGCTTGACCAGGTCCTAGAAGTACAGCATGGTGGAGCCTGTCCCCTTCCTCCCTGTCACTTTGGTCCTACTGCCCTTTTCACCCTTTGTACTCCAGCCTCATGTGCCTTCCTACCTCACGGCCTGTGCATGTGTTGCATCCTTTGCCTGACCTTTTCAGCCCCCTCCCTACCCCATCTCCTGCCCTGTTCCCAAACTCCTATTCATCCTTTTGGGCCTGGCTGGGGGCTTATCTTCCCTTAGGAGAGAAAGTGTCCTGGCTGCCCTGGGTGAACTGGCTTCCTCAGGCCCACACACGGACCCCTGCTTCCTTCCAGGCTCTCATTACACATTCAATAGCATGATTATTTGACTAATTTCTGCTGGCCCCACTAGAATGAGTAACTCCCCACTCCCAAGGTCAGTTGGAGGCTTTCTCCCCTCAGGGCTGCTGGTGAGAACCATTTTCAGTTAGGCCTGGGAACAGATCCTCTCAGCCCAGCCCTGTCCCTCATCTGGACACAGGGCCCAGCATTTCCTGCCCACCCTCCCTACTCTTCTCCCAGTGGGGTCCTGGATGGGAGTGGGGTGGGGGTGGAACAGACAGACCAAAGTATGGGGCAGTCTCAGCCCAAGCCCCTGCGGGCTGCGTGGGCACACTTATGAAAGAGAGGTAAGGGCTGCCCATTGCCTGTCCATGGCACAATCCCTGTGTCCCCATGCCCTATGGGTGCTTATTTTGTGAGCGAAAGTCTGTCAATGTACTCCCACTATACTCCTTCAGCATAGATTGGTGGCACTTTGAGTTCCCACGTCTCCAAGGGGGCCAGCCTGCCGTGCCAGCACCGGTTCACTTCTACGAGGCTTCTGAGTCACCCGGCCCCACCTCTTATTCTCTAGCACCACACCTTGACATCGGGCACAATGAGGGAGGAGGTCACAGTTTTTCCTTTTGGCTGAGTGAGTTGCCTCCTCAAGGAAGCCATAAGATTCTGAGGGCAGGGCTCCTTCCCAATCCTCTGAGGAACTGGTGCTAGGGAGGATTACAGTAAGGGAAACGAACGATTCCCGGGATCACCTGCACTTTTAACGCTTTATTTTGTTGACTCTTCTACAGTCCTGAGAGACGGAGGTTCATGAAGGTTTTGCAGAATGCTCAAGGTCCCACATCTCTCCTACATCCAGATGACTTTAACCTGCCTGCCCCTTCCTGATGGCCCAGGTGACCCCACCAGGTCCCTCCCTGCTTGGGTTCCGGTGCATCACCTGGTGTAGTCCATGATGGTGTTGAGCCGGTGTGCGATGGTCAGCACCGTGCAGGTCTCAAACTGGATGCGGATGGTAGCCTGGATGAGGTCATCCGTCTCCAGGTCAATGGCTGCTGTAGCCTCGTCTAAAACCAGGATGCGGCTCTTGCGGAGGAGGGCTCGGGCCAGGCACACAAGCTGCCGCTGACCCACACTGGGAATGGGAAAGGCAGACAACTCCAGCCAGGTGCCCCCAACCTGTCCCCAGGCTTTTATTCCCCAAACTCTTTCTGTCTCTACTCCTTTCCAATGGCCCAGGACTGGCTTTTCTGTCTAACCTCTTTCATTTCTGCCTCCACCCTGTCCTCTTGCAACAGGAGTTGGAATCAAGGTCTGGACACCAGAGGGTTAGAGAGGCCTTGGGGGTAGAGCCAGTGCTCCACAACACTGACATCTCCAGTCTGTCTCTTTCCGTGCTTTCTTCCCCACCTCCCTCCTCAACTAGGGCCGTGGTGCTTCACTCTATCAGTCATTTACACCTTAGTAAGGACACATTTAAATGGCTCTTCCTGGATATTTGCATACATTACACCATCTTGCTGAGCCTAATATGACATAATTCAGTCATCTCCCACTCTCATGGGAAACACAGGCCAGGGCTCTGCTGTGGTGACAAGGAAGGGGCAGGGCCGGGGAGGACCTGGGGGACTTTCCATGTCTGGTCACTGGGAAAGTAGAGGAGGGGGCGGGATGCATACCTTCAACCTCCTGCCTTGGAAACCAGGGCTAGTGAACAAAGCGGGCTGTGTTCCCAACCACAGAAGCTGCAGCACCCCCACACCCAAGGACAAATACCTTAGTCCTTCCCAAAGGGGTGAGTCACCACAGCCCGAGTGAAGGCCAGGCGCTCTCCCTGGCCCATTCCCGCAACTAATGAAGATTTTGGCAGCAGAATGAGCCGCCAAATAGAACTCAGGGCTGATTTATGGTGGGACTGGCACAGGATACAGGTTATATTTAAAGTGACTACAAGCTCAGTGCGGGAGGAGGGGAACCAATTTCTGTCTCAGATCCTGGTATACGTGGGGATGGAGGGGATCCTCTGCAGGCGGTGCTGATGGCAAGAAGGGACGGGAGAATGGGCCAAAAACCAACTAGGGGTGCAGGCTCTGGAAGCCTAGGCTTATCCACCAGCCACCCCCAACATGAAATCCCGTTAAAATGCACATTCAGTCTTACAGGGCTGCCTGGGGAGGTGGGGGTGTCTCGCTGGTGGCTATAATGCAGCAAGGAAAGGTTTGGGGCAAAAGCCCTCGCTTCCCTGAGTTCCTGCCCCTCCCCTTGCTAGCTGAGCAGCAACCTTATACCATGGAGCCTCACTTCTGGCCCACAGAGCTGTAGTCAAGATTAAACAAGATAGTGGAAGCCAAAGCGTTGGCAACATGACTAAGTGCTGAGCAAATGTAAAGGTTTTTGTTTGTTTTTGAGGTCTGGGGAGAGTTCCGTGTATGGACCGAGTAGAAGAATAAGAATAAATACAAGTAGCTCAATGTCTCAGGAGTGAATCTCGGCTAAGTGCCTTCCATTTCATCACAACGACCCTAAGACCGCTCTGTTCAAATGGTCACCAATGGCCACATGTGGCTATTGAGCACTTGAAATGTGGCAAGTCTGAATTTGGGATGTGCTGGAAATGTAAAAATACACATGGAATTTCAAACATAGTAAGGAAAAATGTAAAATACCCCTAGTAACTTTTATGTCAATTACATGTTGAAAAGATAACCTTTTCAATTTATTGGGATAAATAAAGTACACTATGAAAATTTATTTCACCTGTTTTTTTTCCCCCTCTTTTTAATGGGGCTACTAGAAAAAAAATTAATTACACATACATGGCTCACATTATAGTTTCATTGGGCAGCATGGTGCAAAGAGGTATGAGACTGTTATTACTCCCATTTTAGAGTGAATGTAAAGGAGGCATATAGAAGTTAAGCAACTTGCCCCAAATCACACAGCTCACACAGGTATGGGACTCTCAAGCCTTTAGATTCAGTAAGAAGTGCCTTCTGGCACTCCCTGATACACAGCTCAGCGGCTGGGGATATAACATCTGAGGCTGTAAGAAAGCAAAGGAGGGCCTGAAAGAGCTCATTTTGCCCACTCCTAAACTACAGAAGAGATTGATTGCATCCATCTTGGAAAATATCTATGATTTCCCCTAAAACACTGCAGGTTTCCTTTCATCTGCTCCACAGGTTCAGTCCACAGCATGCCTCCCCAGGCCAGCATGGCATGGACGACCTAGAGGACAAGGCTGAATAGGGCTTTGGAATCTCCCAGACCTGATTCAAGTACCAGGCATGCCTTCTCTCAGCTATGTGACTTTGGGCCTGCCTGTTTCCTCATCTGTGAAGTGGGATCTCTGGGCTTGTGTGAGGAATCAGTGAGATAGTGCACCGTGCCTGGCATACAGAATATGTTCAAGACAAAACAATGCCCCCCTAAGTGCACCCAGGCAGAGATGGGAGTGGGGAGGGCACGAGGGGAGTAGCCTTGATTCCATGGCATTTGATGCTAGACCCCCAAGCTCTAAAGCAGCGGTTCTCAACCTTCCTAATGCCGCGACCCCTTAATACAGTTCCTCATGTTGTGGTGACCCCCAACCATAAAATTATTTTCGTTGCTACTCTATAACTGTAATTTTGCTACTGTTATGAATCGTAATGTAAATATCTTTTTGTTTTCCGATGGTCTTAGGCGACCCCTGTGAAAGGGTCGTTCGACCCCCAAAGGGGTCACGACCCACAGGTTGAGAACCGCTGCTCTAAAGGGTGTGCTGTTTCTGACCCACCCACTCCCAGCTGTTACCTCAGATTCTCCCCTCCCTCTGAGCACTGGAAGTCCAGGCCTCCCGGCTGGGAGCTCACAAAAGTGTGCAGGTGGGACAGCTCCAAGGCCCGCCATAGGTCTTCCTCTGAGTAATTGTCAAAGGGGTCCAGGTTCATACGCAGGGTCCCTGAGAACAGGATAGGGTCCTGGGGACACAACAAGGCTTTAGACGGGAGGCCACATAAGGCACCATGGTCCCCAGGGCCAGGGAAAAAGAAAGGATTGAGGGGGCAGCATTTCCACTCTGTCCCTAGTCCTCCAGGAGGGAGGCAATGGCCAAGGAGATAGAAAAATGCCTGTGGGGCAGTGATAAACCTCAGCTTTGCCAACCACAAAATCCTCCGCTAAAGCAGAGACCTAGCACTAATCTGACTCCCAAGTGTCCAGTCAGCAGAAAAAAAATACCCCAGAGGAGCCAGGAAGAGTGAAATGTAATTCATAGCTGTGAAACAAGGAAGCCGGGGAAGAATATCTCAGGGATGGGGAGGCTCTTCAGGGGTTCGATGTTCCTGGCCTTATTTGCTGGCCCAGGAGGTTGAAGGGTAGGTAGGGTCTGACTGGGCCAGTGTACATCTGACCCTTCCAGATCCATGATAGGTGGCCACTCTTTGGCTCTGCTCTTGCTGTCTGGCTCTCCAGTCTTCCAGACAGGGGTCCAAGTCTTGGACCTTAAGCTATAGAACAGGGGTGGGGTCTGCCCCTCAGGGTCACTGGGCCAGTATGGTCAGTTCATGTCAGGCTCATACCTGGGGGATGATGGTCAGCCGAGAACGCAGGTCATGGAGTCCAATGTCTGCCACGTTGAGGCCATCAATGAGGATTTCACCCTCTGCGGCCTCCAGGATGCGGAACAAGGAGAGGGTCATGGATGATTTGCCAGCTCCAGTGCGGCCCACGATCCCCACCTGGAAGGGGTGGGGAGGGGCTTGTCAGGGAGAGGCTGACGGGTCAGCAGGGACACCTGCAAGACTCCTCCAGAAAGGCCAAGCAAACATCCGGGCTGGAGCACCTGCTCTCCCAAAGACCCACACACCCCACGAGTATGGCCACTTCCAGGCACAAACCCACCCCACGCATACCTTTTCGCCACCGCGCACGTGCAAACTCAGGTCCTTCAGCACCAGCTCCAGGCCAAGCCGGTAGCGCACAGAGTAATTCCGGAACTCCACCTCACCCTTCTGGGGCCAGTTCTCAGGAGGCCGGCTGCCCTCAACCACCCAGGGGGCCTGGCCATGAGGAGAAGACAGGTTCTGCGTCAGGGTGGCACCTTTCCCCCAGCCTGGACCCTCCCGCTTGTCAGTTTCCTTCTCTCCCACGGTCCCTGGGGGAGAGTCCTGGTGCTCCTGTGGGCCACCCTTGTGGGTCAATGAATCCTTTATCCCTCTACCTTTATTTCCTACAGAGTTGCTCCGAAACCCCACCCCATCCTGCCCTCTCCTCCTCTCTCCTTGTGCCCATTGCTCCTGAGCTGCCTCTCCCTGCCTGCCCTCGTTCCGCCTTTCATCATTCAGTATTACTGAGTGGCTACTCTGTGACAGGTACTGGGGTCACAGTGGTGAGCAAGACAAAGTCCCTGCTCCCCTGAGGCTTCTATTCTGGTGTAGTGAGGCATACAATCAACAAACAAGCAAATCTACATACTGTAAGAAGAGGATGAGTACGGAGAAGCGCTTAGTGTGGCTGTACTATACCGAGTGGTCTGGGAAGGCTTCCTGGAGGAGGTGATATTTAAATAAAGACCTGAAGGAAGTGAGCGCACAAGCCAAATACATAGCTGGGGAAAGGACATGCCAGGCAGAGGGAATAGCAAGTACCTCCAGGTATGTTCTAGAGCACAGGGGCAAAGGTGAGAGGGAGGAGACAGGTAGTTGGCGGCCCCATCACCGGGGCCACAACGGCTTTGTAGGCCATTTTAAGGACTAACATGAAGAGCCATCAGAGAGCCCTGTACAGAGGAATGATGTGATTTGATGTGTTTTTAAAGGATCCCTCTGGCTGCCACCAGGTAAAGGGAGAGGGGAGAGTGGAAACAGAATGACTAGTTAAAAGGCTTTTAAAATAAATTGGGCATAAGATGATGGTGGCTTTGAGACAAGACTGACTGCATAATTTGGGAGGCCCAGTGCAAAATGAAAACATGGGGCCTTTTATTCAAAAATTACTGAGAATGTCCAGGTGGCGACAGCAGAGCATTAAACCAAGTGAGAGGCCCTTCTAAGTGTGGGGACCTGTGTGACTACACAGGTCACATACCCATGAAGTCAGCCTTTCTTCATGGCAGAGGAAGCCAGACTGTTAGCAGTCAAAAAAGCAAAACAACCAGAATAGACCGCTCTCTTGAGGGGGTGACAAAAGAGTGGGCAGCAGTGTTGGGGGCAGAATTATTTAGGATATGGAGACAGAATTACATGTGTAAACAGGGGAAATGGGAATGCTAAACATAAAGAAGGAGAATTTGAAGATGCCAGTAAGTAGGGGGTGATGGGGGGCGGGGATGCTTGGGGAAGGTTTGGGTAGATGGGGGCCTTAAGGGCAGCAGAGGCCAGGCTGGAAGGAACAGGTAGAGTGGGGACTCAGTGGAGACTGACAGGACAAGTGCTCGAGTCACAGAAGCCATGCCTTCCAAGGAGATAGGAGGGGTCATGTTGTGAGAGGTAGAATTAGATGAGAACAGAAAAGTGCCTCCTAGGTTTGGAACCAGGAAGCTCATTGGTGAGCGGTTTCAGTGGAGTGATAGGGCCAGAAACCAAGACTGCAGGAGGCAGATGAGCTAAAGGGTGATGAGGAAGTGGGAAGAGTGTGTGTAGACCATATTTCAAAATAAGCTTCACGGGCCGGCCGAGTGGCACATTAGTTAAGAGCTGGCTTGGAATGCCAGAGGGCCCTGGTTCAGATCCCACATATGAGGGCCAGTGACACTGCCCTCTACAGCTAAGATGCTGAACAACAGCT